AAAGTGTCACTTTAAATTGGTGCAGGTGCTGACTCAGGCCTTTGTCATATGTTTTTTCATTTTGAAATCTTTGCTTTGCAGACTGTCATGCCAGTAAATGCTGGATACAAGTAACATCACTATTCCCTACCTGCTATTAGGCAGAACTGCCGTAGAGGGTTTCCTGTTGACATTTTCAAATCTAGCATGACAGTGTAGCCAAAATGATGGGGAGACCTAAAAAAAGACAATGTGAATTCATACTCAAAGAAAAATTTCTTCTTCCTATATGGAATGATGTGGTTTTAAAGAGTGCACATTTTTCAGTTTTTCATGAGCAAGGATAATGGATTGACATTTATTTGTACCTTTCCATTTATTAAAGATTAGGTAAATGTGCTCTTGGTATGTTCCATTGATTTGTTCTGATTCTTCCTGTGTGGTTCATGAAACAGCTGAAAATTGTTCGTTGGGGATATACTTTGCTTTTGAAAGCTAGAATAATATTTCAAATGAGTATTAGAAAGCCAAAATGAATCTGAAACCTTGGATATTTGATTATTGAGATGAAAATTCTTTTACACGTTCTTCTTTTATTGCTTTAGGAACTTTAACAATATTTTTGGACATAGAGGAAAGGAATGTTAATACTCCAGATGTTTAATTTCATGTAATATATTAATATTAAGAGTTACAAGTGTTTTATTCCTGAGCACTAACTGCATTTAATATACAAACATTTGATTTTTTATTTTTATATTCTTCATTTCACACATTTAAAGCGAAGATACTTTTAAGAACTCAGTGGTGTTGGAACTTTTGTGAATTGAATGGTTGTGTTGATATAATTTATATATTATATTTGTTGTTCACCTTTACCCCCATTAATTTCCAGCTGATTTCCATAGTAGTGGACACATTGTTATCAATGGATGGAAAATACATAACACAGCAAAAAATAAATGGTTCGTGTGCATGGCAAAAACACCTGAAGAGAAGCACGAATGGTTTGAAGCTATTTTGAAAGAAAGAGAACGGAGAAAAGGTGGGTGTATGAATTGGCCACTATTACACTTTTGTGAAGATTCTACCTTAGCAAGAAAGCAGACAATGGGCAGAAATTATGAGAAAGTAAAAAGGTGTGTGATGTTCACCTGGATTTTCCAAGTGTGGTAAGACCCATGCTAAAATACTTTATGGATACTTCTAATATTATCACTGAAAGAAAAGAAAAACCTTGTATAGTTAGTGAAATAATTATATTGTGGCCAGCAGTGTCTTTTAAATATTATGTTAGTCTGTTGAGGCTGCTATGACGGATACCACAGACTAGGTGGCTTATAAACAACAGAAATTTATAACTCACAGTTCTGGAGGCTAGGAGCCCAAGATTTGGAGTCTGGTAAGAGCAATTTTCCAGTTCCTAGATGGCCATCTCTTCACTGTGTCCTCACATAATAGCAGGGCAAGAGATCTCTCTGGGGTCTTGTCGATAAGGCCATTAATCTCATTCATGAGGACTCCACTCTCATGACCTAATCACTTCCCAAACACCTTACCTCCTAACACCAGCACAATTAGATGTCAGGTTTGAACATATGAATTTGGGAGGCATGCAAACATTCAGTCTACTGCAAATAGTTTCGTTTGCTTTAAAAGTTGTTAAATTTTCTTTGCACCTTATTCTCACCATTTCTAAAGCATCATCTCAGAGTTTTCCTGTAAGAGACAAACTTCCATAGTATAAGGCAGTGTTGTAGGGCCTCCAACAGTTGTTCTCTATATATGTAACAGTACAGTGAAAATCTCTAGACCAAATATGTTAGTGTCCTAATTATAGAATAAATCACTTGGGATACACATTAACTTTTTACAATGCCATTGACTATAATGCAAGTCAATAAGGAGTTTGTTCACATGAAGAGGGAGGCCTGGTTCAAAATTGCTTCACGTTTTTAGCAAGATTCGCAAAAGGCACTTGATCTGGCAGTATTCAATTGTGTGACGTTTATCTGCAATTACGCACATTTCTTTAATTCAGCTAAGAAATAGAAATGCTTGTGTTACTACTAATTTCTTTACCCAATAATGGATAAGAAACAAGACAGTATGTATTCCTTTTCCCAGAGACTTAGGAATAAAATATCCCATTGCTGATGAAATTTTGAAGCACAAAGAACCCTTTCTTCCATCTTCAGAAATTTTTCCTTGAAGAACATACAAAGCTCCTATTTCGATTAAAATATTCATCGCACACATTTATATGAGCATCTCCAAAGCATTTTCAAATACTTAACTCCTTTGATTGATCTTGGATGGAGAACTAGTTAGAAAAATTTAAAACATAGATTATGAATACCGAATAGCTGATTCTTTCAGTTTTGTTGAATCCAGCAATCAATTCAAATAGCATAGCAAGTCATTTGAAAGGTAAAATAAATTTTTCATCAAGTTGAACCTTTATTTATTTTTTCAGAATGGCTGTGCATACAGATAAACCTAAGGTGAAAAAGGAAGGGAGGAAGGAAAAGAGAGAGAAAGAAAGAAAAGCAAGCAAATAAGCATGTTGTATAAATTAGTTTATGTGAACAGGCTCTATTCTTGATGGAGTATTCCCTATTACTGACAAGTGGCAATTGCCCCTCCATTGTAAAAATAAAATTTTCATAAGAAAATTTGTAGCCAGAAAACTAAAAATAATTCAAGTATTTCTTCTTCTGCAACAGTTTGTCAGTCCCGTCCAAACGTCCCAGATTGTGGGCGTTCTCAGGCTTTCAGCTTTGACACTGCTCTCCTCTAAGATAGGTCCTTGCCTGGGTTATCTGTTCCCACCAGATCCACATCAACATCTACACTGCCACTTCGTCCATCTCTCCTGAGCTTCATACACATGTGTTCTGCTGGCTCCTGGACTCTACCTGAACGTCCAAATTCAATATGCACAGTATTGGACGCCTCCTTACCTGAATCCCTTTTTCAGAAATGCGTCCAACCCCCCACTCCCCAGTTCCAGGCTCTCAGGTCAAAAGCCTAGAAAACATCTCTCTTTTCTCCATCGTGCCTGCATTTAACCCTTTGCTGTATCCTATCAGTATTGCTCCCTAGATATGTCTCAGCATCATTCTCTTTGCCCTGTAGCCCCTGCTATTGTCTTCAGGGTTCAACTTGCCTGAATTTTTGAGGGTTCCTCCTAATGGTCTCCCTCTTTTTAAACCCTGCCCCCTTCACTTTGTTCCTGTATTGTCATCTGAGCTTTGTTTCTGAAGCAACAAAACTTTCTTTCCTGTCCTGCCCTGCTTTACCCCTCCCTCTGGTGGAAACCCTTACATGCTTCCCTGATACCTCAGGGATGAAGTATATGGAAACTGCAGTTGAGCAAGGTCCCTAACTAACCCGCCAGTGTGTCCTGTCCTCTCATGTAGGGCCTGGAGCTGTGCCCCCGTGCTGCTTCACCTCAGGTAGCTCTTGTTAACTCTCTCTCTTTCTCTCTGGAAATACCGTTCACCCCTCTGCTTTTAAACATTGGTCTTCTGTGAAACCTTTCTTAATATTTCTGTGTAGAGGCAAGATCCTCTGAATATGCCTTTATTGTATCACAGTTTCTCCTTTAAGGCTGTTTCCAGGGCCAGCCAGTCCACTTGTGCCAATCTAATTCTGCAGAAGGGGTGCAGGGAGCTTGAGGTACAGCTGCTCTTCCTCCAGTGGCCAAACCATGTGCCTTTGGGCACAATTTACACAAGGTGCTATATGGCCCTCCAGATCCTGTCTTGACTGTCTCCTTGGTATCCCAAGAGCTTCTTGAAAATCAGGGCCCTAGCGTATGGAGCTCTGTGTCTGCAATCCCCTGCATGTGGTAGACGTGAATTAAATGTTTGTTTAATGAAGGCATGAGTGAGTGAGGAGACTTTCAGTACCTGTCCTTTGTTTCATTTCTGATAGGTTTAAAATTAGGAATGGAGCAAGACACCTGGGTAATGATCTCCGAACAGGGTGAGAAACTTTATAAGATGATGTGCAAACAAGGAAATCTGATCAAAGACAGGAAAAGAAAACTGACCACGTTCCCTAAATGCTTCCTTGGAAGGTAAGGTTGGTAGTCTAGGTGCATGTATTTCTTTCATGTTTCCACTATCTCACGTGTTAACTTTCCTTTAATAATTTGTTTTTCTTTAACAAATATTTCTCTAAGCATTTTCGAATACTTCTTTGCTATCAACATTTCCTGGACTGTAGTGGGGTGAAGGAATGGATCTAGGGCCAGAAGTCATACAAAACTTAAGACATCTATCCATTCATCCATGACTTCAACAGTTTTGGATGTACTGTGTTCCAAGGGCGAAGCAGAGGTTGGGGTCAGGCAGGGGCTGGCAGGCAGGCGGGTTTACCTATAGGGGACAGAGTCTGGCAAGGATGTGAGTACAAGGCCTACGAGTCAGAGAAGACTGGAGAAGTGAAGACACACAGTCTAAGCTGGCAATTAATTCAAAACTTTGACAGCTGGGCTCAGCATGAAGGCCTATCGATGAGGAGTCTGGAAAAGTAGGTCATGCAGTGAGCCTGGCACAGAGCAACAGGCGGGGAAGTCACCTGAGCTTTTCACATAGATTGGCTGTGTGTCCTTTGGTTTCTCCAGACAGCTGTATGTGGGAATCCCTGCTGGGTTCGGCCTGCAGGACTGAAGGGAAGGGCGGCCGCCTTCAGGTACCTCTGCTTAGGCCAGGCCCTATGCTGGCTTCTTCCTATACGTTATTTCTAATCCTCAAATACATACTTAAGAGGTAAAATCTTCATATTTTTTAAAGATTCAAAACCCAGCCATCAGGGAGCATACCGTGCTCACATTCATATAGCTAGTAAATGCCAGTGTCAACTCTCTAAAAGTAGTTCAGAGGGGTGCCTGGGTGGCTCAGTCGGTTGGGCGGCCAACTTCGGCTCAGGTCATGATCTCGCGGTCCGTGAGTTCGAGCCCCGCGTCGGGCTCTGTGCTGACAGCTCAGAACCTGGTGCCTGTTTCGGATTCTGTGTCTCCCTCTCTCTGGCCCTCCCCCATTCATGCTCTGTCTCTCTCTCTCTCAAAAATAAAAGTAGTTCAGAGCCCAGACTTCACCATCAGACTGTCTCCATGCAAATCTGCTCCTACCTCTGGCTAGTTGAGAGATTTGGGAAGTTTAAACTTCCTTTTCCTCTCTAAAAATGGAGATGATTGTAGTGCTTACTTGCAATACATACCAGAATGCCTTCTTGATTAATTATGTAGACACAACAAAATAGCCATAGGCCACACCAGCTCCCAACCCCATGAGAAGAATATAAGCCAGGAAACCCTGGCCTGCAGGGCAGCATGGCCTCTCTTCTCCAGTGAGCATGGTCCTCACAG